CAATCGGCCCGTCAGGGTTCTCGCGTGCCCGATTGATGACGCACCATCTTTTATTGTCACGCCCGCCCGCCCCGCCCCGCCCGCTTGGGTTCTCGCGTGCCAAGCACATGATGCACCGTACTTTCATGCCCCGCCCGCGCGACCTGGGTCCCCCCGCTCGGCCCGAGCCGTTCGTCAAGGTGATCGCGTGCAAAGCAGATGGTGCACCGTACTTTAATGTCCCGCGCCCGCCCGACCCGACCCGACCCGCCCGCTAGGGTGTCGCCCGCCCGACCCGCCCGTGAGGGCTCCCACGTGCCTCGCACGTCAGTCACTAGTTGACTAGCGCACTCCATTGGTCTCCATGGGACTCCGATGCTCTCTTTTTGAGCCCATAAGACCCCAGTGGGCTCGCAGTCAAGAAGGCACCGGGAACTGGGAACCGGGAAGGCTCTGGGAAGCGGGATCGGGAGCCCGGAGCCGGCAACCGGAAACCGGGAACCGGGAGCCGGGAGCCCACAGCCGGGAACCGGGAACCGGGATGCGGGGACCAGGAACCGGGCTCTGGCAGCTATCTATGGGACCGCGAGGACCCACAGGACCCGGGACCCAGGAACCAGGAACCCGGAGCCGGGAACTGGGAGCTGGAAGCAGGGAGCCGGGAACCGGGAACCGAGACCCGGCCGGAGGCCAGGAGCCGGGAGCCCAGAGCCCGGAGCCTGGAGCCGCCGGGTCCCGGTTCCCGGCGGGAACCGGGAACCGGGAACCGGGAGCCGGGAGACGGGAACCGGGAACCGGGTAACCGGGTAACCGGGAACCGGGACCCGGGAACCGGGGAACCGGGACCCGGGAACCGGGAACCGGGAACCGGGAACCGGGAACCCGGGAACCGGGAACCGGGAACCGGGAACCGGGAACCCGGGAACCGGGAACCGGGAATCGGGAACCGGGACCCGGGAACGGGGAACCGGGAACCGGGAACCGGGAACCGGGAACCGGGAACCGGGAACCGGGAATTGGGAACTGGGAGCCGGGAACCGGGAACCGGGAACCGGGAACCGGGAACCGGGAACCGGGAACCGGGAACCGGGAACTTGGCGACTAAAACACCTTACTTCCTCCTCCTCCTCCTCCTCCTCCTCCTCCCCCTCCTCCTCCACCCCCCTTCCTGATAAATCACTTCTCTCTGTCGCACACCGAGGCTGGGCGAAAAGGCGGGCCGGGCGTTTCGCTGGAGACTTCCTCACCATGTCTGATCCTGACGCTCAGAGTTTGCAGCAGCTTCCCGGATGGAGGGCGGGTCGCTTTCAAAATGCGGCTCTCGTTTTAGCGCCGCGCGCATTGGCTTCAAACGTTCGCAGGAGCTTCACGAATGGAGGGCGGGTGGATGTGGCTCTCGCCGTAGCGCCGCGCACCATCGTTCGTTGTAAAACATTGCAAGGGCTTCAAGGATGCAGGGCGGTTCGTTTTCAAGCTGTGGCTCTCGCCTGAGCGCCGCGCACACTCGTCTTAAGAATTTGCAACAGTTTCAAATATTATCATGGTTAGCGTCCCAGAAAATGGTGCTCTAGCACGATGTCGGAATGTCAGGACGCAACAGTCACGTTGAGTCGCGGTGTTGGCGCTCCCGAAATGTTGCTCCGGCACGGTTCAGGATCGTCATGACACAACAGTAACGGTGATTCGCTGCGTTGATGTACCAGGAATGGTATTCTGGCACGGTTCCGGATTTTCAAACGGTTGTCTTCCAACGGGGCACTTCCCTCAGTGAAAATGAACCCTTGTAGGGGCCTATGGACAGGGAATTCGGAGGGTCTGTTGCAATATCGTTGACAGTCTCGGGTTTACATTGGTCCTCCGCCTCCTCCTTTTTCTCCTCATCCTGCTTTTTCTCCTCCTGCTTCTCCTCCTCCTCCTCCTCCTTTCTCGTCTCCTCCTCCTCCTCCTCCTCCTCCTCCTCCTCCTCCTCCTCGGAACGTCTCCTCGGAACGTCTCCTCGCTGGGGCCCCCCGGTCCCTGGAAGAAGGGGCCCACGCCCGTGATCCACATTCGTGTGGCCGTGCTTCGGCTGCACCCCCCGGTCCGTCGCCTCGGGAAGGGTGGGCGAGCTCGACGCCGCTTGCGCGCCTGGGGCCGGCTGGGCTGTCTCCTCGTCTGCGGACGGCGGTGGAGGGCCCCGGTGGCGTGGTGCACGTGTGCATGCCTGACTGATGTACACAGCAACTTCATGACAGTGCACATGTGGCACATGTACACCCAAACTTGTTCAGCTCTCCTCCTCCCTTCTTGAGGACGTATCCTGTGTGTATCCCTTCTTTCCTCCTCCGCCTCCTCCTCCTCCTCTTCCCCCCTTGTTTATCTTTGCGCATATCGTATATCCTTTGTTGTTTCTCTGGTGGCGTGGTGCACGCGGTCTTGAACAATGTGCACTGCAATTTCGTGCCTGTACACACGTGGAAGTCACAGTCGGACGACCGAGGCATGAGATCGAGATCGGCTCGGAGAAGGAGGAGGAGGAGGA